AAACACAGTATCACTTTAGGCCCCTACTCAAGAACCTGTAATGTCCCCTTCTGAACCTGTGTATTATCACATTTGGGATTAAGGGGGGGAAAAAAGAAACCACTGCTACAGATAGGCTTAATACCTTTTGTAGCAGGTATATTTCCTTCCCTATCACAGTTCCTTCCACAACCACCAGGAATGAAGTTTTTCTTAATGATTCCAGCTTACATTAACCTCTTCCTTAATTTTCTATTGCTTTAAGTCTGTGGAATACAAGTTTACTTTTTATATTTTGTGTCAGCACATACCTGCTGTATAATCTCAGTCAAGAATCTTACCCTTTCTGTACCTTTGTTGCCTCATGTGTGAAATGCTTTCATGGGCTTTCAGTGAAGACTGTGGTAAAACATTTGTTATCAGCTATCTTACTATCATTCTGTATCTGTTTCACCTGTTACATCCTGCCTCCAAATAAAACTGCAATGAGGATTTTCCTAAACCCAGTTAATACACAACTGTGTTAAATAGGTACACATTCTTATGACTCTTTTTTTTTTTTTGAGACAATCTTGCTCTATCGCCCAGGCTGAAGTACGGTAGCACAATCACAGCTCACTGCAGCACTGCCCTCCTGGGTCCAAGCAATTCTCCCACCTCACCTTCCCAGGTAGCTGGGACTACAGGTGTGTGTCACCATGCCCGGCTAATTTATTTTTATATTTTTTGTAGCGACAGAGTCTCAGTATGTTGCTCAGGCTGGTCTTGAACTCCTGGACTGAAGTGATCTTCCTGCCTCAGCCTCCCAAAGTGTTGAGATTACAAGTGTTGAGCCACTGTACCTAGTAGGACTCGTTTTTATTATTTTTTTAAGATATGTTGCCCAGGCTGGGGTGCAATGGCCATGCACAGGCACAATCATAGCATACTACAGCCTCAAACTCCTGGCCTTAAGTGATCCTCCAGCCTCAGCCTCCCAAGTAGCTGGGACCACAAGCACATGCTACCATACCTCGCTTTGACTCTGCTTTTGATTTAGTCAGTATTAGTGGGACTGATGTTAAGTAACTTAAAATTTCTGTCACACCTATCAGGTATCTTATTTCATGTTGTATCATATAATGATTCTCTTCTCTTTCCAACATGTTTAAATGCTTAAGTTTATTGAGTAAGTACATCTTCTTCCATTAACTACTTCAGTATTGTGCACAGTAAGGAAGTGATGTGAATCAATAATGACTTTTCAATATCCAGTCATATGACATTCAGCTTGACTCATTCTAACTCCTTTTAAGCTCACAATTCGGTACTTCATTTTTGAAAGAAAAGATGTATCTTGAGCACACAATTTAGTAGTTGGCTCATTTTAAAACTGTAATGTTAAAAGAAGAAATGTTAAACATTCCCCTCTGAATTTACTCAACTTTTTTTTTTTTTTGAGACAGGGCCTGGCTTTGTCTCTCTGACTGGAGTGCAGTGGTACAATCATGGCTTACTACAGTCTTGACCTCCCAAGCTCAAATGATCCTCCCGTCTCAGCTCCCAAAGTAGCTGGCACTATAGCTGCACACCACCACACCTGGACAATTTTTGAATTTTTTTTTTTTGTAGAGATGGGGTCTTGCTATGTTGTGCAGGCTGTTCCCGAAATCCTGAGCTCAAGGGATCCTCCTGCCTCGGCCTCCCAAAGTGCTGGGACTGCAGGTGTGAGCCACCATGCTTGGCATAGTCAACATATTTTAATACAGCAAAATGGCCTATAAACATCTCATTCACTTACTCATTAAGTTTTTAATAAAAAACCCACTAATGGAAACAAAAAAATTTTTTAACCCATTACTACAGTCCTAGCTACTAGAAAAGCTGAGGTGAGAGGATCATTTGAGTCTAGGAGTTCAAGCTCAGCCTGGGCATCATAGTAAGATCCCATCTCTGAAAACAAATTTTAAAAAAAATTTTAACTCCACTAATGAACAACAGACTTCATGTAAAATTTGGAAATCAGTAACTTTCTAATTTATTGAATAATCTAAATGATGCCTTTTACAAAGGATAATTCTAACAAACATAGAAAAATATTACTGTATTTGGAAATTTCAATTTGTGTAACTTCAAAAAACTACAAATTAAGCTGAATACAGTGGCACACACCTGTAATCCCAGCACTGTGAAGGTGCTGAAGCAAAAGGATCACTTGAGGCCAGGAATTCAAGATTAGCCTGGGCAAACATAGTGAGACCCCGTCTTTACAAATACAACAACAAAAAAAATTTGTAATAAATTTTTTAAAAGTGCTAATTTAGCCGGGCGCGGTGGCTCACGCCTGTAATCCCAGCACTTTGGGAGGCCGAGGCGGGCGGATCACAAGGTCAGGAGATCGAGACCATTGCAGTGAGCCAAGATCACGCCACTGCACTCCAGCCTGGGCGACATTGCGAGACTCTGTCTCAAAAAAAAAAAAAAAAAAAAAGTGCTAATTTAGCCTGGACAACATAATGAGACCCCATCTTTACAAAAGTTTTTAAAAATTAGTCAAGCATGGTGGCTCACATCCATAATCCCAGCTACTCAGAAGGCTGAAACTGGAGGATCGCTTGAGCACAGGAGGTTGAGGCTGCAGTGAGCTGTGATCAAACCACTGTACTCCAGCCTGGGGGACAGAAGATCCTCTCAAAAAAATTATTTTCAAAAATGCAAATTGAAAATTTGGGTGAAAATACGAAAAACCACATCCATTACAAGGAACTAAGTTTAGCATAACCCCTAAATGGCCCTATGATTTCCATTAGAAAAGTGTACTCGATTTAAACAAAACTAAACAGGTAATATCATTCACACAAGTTTTTCACTCTTTTATAGCGTTTCAATATTCTTCTCATTACCAGAGTTATCTTATACACCTGAATGTTATGTTGCAAAAAAAAAAAAAAAATTTTAAAAAATAAACTATTAAAAAAAGCCCAAATATTGTATTATTTACTTGTGATTACAGAAAACATTTCCAAATGGTGTAGTTTAAATAATGCAATTTTTCCAACACTTTATACTTAGTGTATACAAAAATACTAATGATCCAGAACTAATTTTCTAGTAGAGTAACATACATGAAATTACCTACACGTCCTAATGATTCTAAAGTATTCATAGAACCACTGTGTATTTTTAACTTACGCTGGGTGACTATTTTAAATACAAACCTACTCCATAATGTGATCTTTCCAAAGTAACAACAGCTAAAGGATCTTATATACAATCTGAGAATCCATTATTATAACTAAATTTGTAGGGAACTGCTTATGACTTAGTTACATTCAAGAACAAAGTTCCTGATAACTTTATATTCATGCAGATAAGTGAAATACTGTAAAAAAAAAAAAAAAAAAAATTAGTATTTCTTTCCCCACAAAGAAGCAAGCAAACAAAAACAAACTAAAAGTGATTATCTGGTAAAAACTCGGTATAAAGACAGAGAGTAAGAACTGCTTGGCTAACTTAGAAATTAAATTTACTTAAATGTCTATCTTAAAATGTCTAAGGTATAGGAAACATCTTCAGGTTTTCAATTCAGGACAAATGTTTAATTTGTTTCTCCATCAAAAAAGACACACAATATTTTCTAAACAGAGAAAATAAGCTATGAATTGAATATTGAAAATTTTAAAGTATTTCAAATAACTGATTAAGAATATGTTGTATACATAAAACAATTGTTTAACAGTAAGACTTTGTATTAATAAGCTGCACAACAGACAGAAGTTTATTCCTCCAACTATGAAGTACTTGTTTCTGGGCATCCAAATTTTCATAAACCTTGAAGTGGGCACTGATGCTGTAAATGTAATCCTAAAATAATTTATCTTCCTTCAAAAATCTCTGCCATCGTGACTTTACATACCACACACACACAAAATACCTGGAAATAATTCAAATGTATAACAATAGGTGTATGTCATACATAAGAATACTATACAGAGTTTAAAAAGAAAACTAGATCTACATTGTTAACATGAACAAATATTCAAAATGAATGTGTGAAAAATGCAAGCTGCAGAATACATGTAAGAGTACGATATCAACTGTGTAAAGTTTAAAAACACACAACAGACTACATATTATTTATGGATACATACATATGCAGAAAAGGTATAAAAGCATGTACACAAAGAATACACATCAACTTCAGAATAGTGGTTACCTATGTAGGGGATGGCGAATGTAAAGAACGGGATGGATACAAACAAGCTTTAACTCTATCCATAATGTTCAATATTACAAAAGTATTTGAAACAAATATGGCATAATGTTAACATTGTTAAATCTGGTGGTGTTACAGTAGACACCCATTATTCTCTGTACTTTTCAATTTTAATATATTTCATAATAAAATAAAAACATTCACAGAATAAAAAAAGCTCGAATCACTGCTACCATTTTCAGATTAATCAGGCATGCTAAAACACAACACACATTTTCTTTCCCAAATAAGACAATAAATATTAACAGAAGATGTTACATAATTGGCAATGTACACTTTTATAAGGTATCCATTGATTACTATATTAAAAATACACAACAATTAAACAGCAGGATTTAATGCTTCTACTTCAAAACCTCTACCTTTACTTGAGTCAAAGGATTTAATTTCACACCACAAATAGGCTTTCCTTGCTTTAAGAGTATCCCTTTGAATTTTGTTTTATGTCATTTCCTTTAAACATGACTCAGAACAAAAGGTTTCGTGTACAAGGTATAGAAGAGACTTGACTAACTACAGTTAAATAATACTAATAAATACATCTTAGAATAAACCAACAGTGGCTCAATCCAAAAATGGTAATTATCACCAGTACAAAAACTTTCACTTTTCATTCTGAAACTTTTAACCTGCAAGAGAAATACACATGATCTCTGTTTACCAAACATGTTTTTTTCTTGTCAGGAAAGTTTTCCCACCTTTGTCAGATTAATACTTCCTTGATCACAGATGAAGTCTTTCAAATTAAAGATAAACAACTACTTGCCTGTTGTTTCTGATATGCAGTATTTGGATTTATCTTTGATTCCAAGAGTAGTGATCCTGAAAGATAAAAAATAATATATAATAAGTCTCAGATGATAAAACCCTGAAAAAAATAAGAATACACATTAAAGTCGGGCACGGTGGTTCACGTCTGTAATTCTAGCACTTTGGGAGGCTGAAGCGGGCAGATTACGAGGTCAAGAGATCGAGACAGTCCTGGCCAACATGGTGAAACTGTCTCCACTAAAAATACAAAAATTAGCTGGGAGTGGTGGCGCGTGCCTGCAGTCCCAGGTACGCGGGAGGCTGAGACAGGAGAATCGCTTGAGAGAGAGAGAGGAGGCAGAGGTTGCAGTGAGCCCAGATCACGCCACTGCACTCCAGCCTGGCAACAGAGCAAGACTCTGTCTCCAAAAAAAAAAAAAAAAAAAAACCACATTAAAAAAACACACACTACTCCCAAACTTTTCATGTCTTTTTACCCAGTTGGACATCTTAACAAAATGTATTCAAATTCACATTTTCTCTCCAAATCTAGGCTTCATATTTAATCTAAAATATTTCACCCTATTCCCATACACCCTTAAAGAAAATATTCATCTAAAACCAACATTCAAACCAAGGAATAAGGAGACTAGATGACTATTAAAATTTTATTGAAATAAAAATTTTAAGGTCTAAATGACCACTTCAAGCCATTCTTTTTAACAAAAGTTGTTTTATTGCATTCCCAGTTTAACAAATAATGCAAATTACAAAACAAAATCATGACAGGGATTAAATACTTAGTGTAGAAATCACAGTGCTGCATTTATCCTTTTCTCGTGAAGAACAAAAGAATACCTTCTGTAGAAATAAGTGATAACTATTTAAAATAAAAGGGAACGAGCAACAAAACAAAATATGTCAAGAATAAACCTAAGATTATTTTTCTAACTGCCCATATCAGTTGTTCAAATCAAGTACAGATTACACTATAAAAGGCATTTTAATTACGGTTCTACATTTTGTAATTTAAAATACTTCACATGACTACAATAAACCAAAGAATACAGCAGTTTACAACACGCTCTGGTGTTCCAACTTGCTTAGATTGTAAGGCATTCACTTTCTCATAGCGCCTTCTACAAAGGCAGCCCGAAGAAATCCCAGACTAAAGATGTATGTGCTTGTGTGTCCATGTATCGTGGCAACAGTCAGCAAATACAGCCAGGAAAAGGTGCCTTTTGGTTTTCCCCAACACCTGTCGACTGTGGCACCTGGTTGGTACAAGTGTTTTTTTTTTTTTTTTTTAAACGACACTCGGAAAGAAAAGTTTCGCTAAACCGTTTGTACTAGACGTATAATGGATAAGAAAATAAAGGAATAAAGGGGGAGGAGGGCGACATCAGTACCTAGTCTCTCACTAGTTCCTCCCTTCTCTCTCACACTCTCCCCTCTTTAAAAGAGGAGGAACTGGAAAGGAAGGAGTCCAATCCTTAAGAGGGATGGGAGGCGGACAGAGTCTCGGTCTCTGAGGATAAGTCCAGTCAAAAGTACAGTAGTTTGTTTTTGCCATACACAAGAGTCAGCTCAGAACCAACGCGCTGTCCCGAAGTGGTAGCAACGGTAACGGGCCCAGGGCCCTAAACCCCAGGCTGTGCCCGGATCAGAGGCACTATCCCCTATTCTACGGTTCCGATAACCTTACCGTCGGACTCTGCCCGAACGAGCAGCGACATCCCCTTGAGCTCCTCCACGTAAGTGGAGGAGACGTGCCCGGTGCCTCGGTCGTCCCATTGCCGGTCTTCGTTCAGGGTATAGACCTTCACTCGCCGCCGCGTATCCGACATGGTGGCTGCTGTCTCCACCGCTCCAGCCGCCGCCTCCTCGCTCACCTAGTCCGCGCCCCTCACTCTTGGGAGACGGTAGACGCGGTAGTGGCGGTGGCGGCGGCGGCTCCAGAGAGGCCCGAATTCACCATGGCTTCAAAGGTTCAGCCGCGAGAAGGGGTGACAAGAGCCACTGAGACCCTCCGCCCGGAGGCCTAGTTACCTCTCACTTCAACCCTGCATACACCCACCCTCCCGTCCCTTTGCCCCACAGGGCTCGCTCGCTCTCCCGCCGCCGCCGCCGCCGCAGTAACTACTACAGATCCGCCATCTTGTAACCCGACTCTCTCTGCCTTTCTCTTCCTCCTCCAGCAGGCTCGCACGGGCTGTCCTAGCAGGGGCTACGGCGGCCGACAAGTCCCATGAACAGCACCTCCGCTTCTGCACGCGCTTCCCAGGCCGGAGTGCTCGGCGCTCTCGCGAGGGGGGTACCGACTAGGGCGGGAGTACTTCAGCGAGACTTCCTCCTCTTTCGGCCCCGCCTTCTGGCGCGGGGTCGCAATTGGGCGGGAGGTTCTCGCGATCTCCGGGTCCCCGCCTGAGCCGCGAGAGGCCGCTAGGTGGAAGGCTACTGCCGTTCTGCACTTCGTCGGGTTGTTGGCTTGCAGCAGGGTGTGAGGTTCCGAGCGACTCAGCTCTGAGGAAAAAGCAAAGCAAACCGGGGAAGTACGTAGCCTTGAAGCGGAGTAACCAGGGACAGAAAGGAAGGAAAAGTGCTTTCATACCCTGACGGAAGGAAGCTCACTCCGTCCGCCTGAAGGGGAAAAAAAAGTTTAAACCCTTCTGTGAAAAAGAAAAAACGTGGAGCCCTTTCAGCCGAATGTAAGCCCACTAAACCTCGTTATGGAGTCTGTTACAATTAAGCATTTGCCCAGGAATTGTCTATGGACACAACTCTCCAGGCAATTCGTGCAAAAGTGTGTTGACGAATTCCTGTTTCCCACAGAGCGCCTCACCGTTAAGGCTTTTAGTAGCTGGCGATTGAAAAGCACAATTTCCGCTTCAAGAAAATACAGTGCTCTTCTTGTTTTTGTAACCTTGCAAAGTAAATCTGCAGATAAGTTTAGGGAAGTGGCGGGGAGCTACTTTCCTAACACATCTGTGATTTTTTTGATACTTCTGAGTTTCTCGTGGGCATTTCCTGCGTTATCTATAGGGGTCTTCTGCACTGAATAAGGGAAGGAGGAATTCTCTGCATTGAGGTTATTATCGAACATTGTGCGGTGGATATAGTCACGCGCTGGGTCATAGTAGCGTGTCGTTTATTTCAGTACCAGCTCGCTCTTGGTAGAATCCCTTTATTCGTTTTGTTGTTGTTTTTGATAGTCTCCTCTCTGCCGCCCAGGCTGGAGTGCAATGGCGCAATCTCGACTCACTGCAGCCTCAGCCTTGAGGGCTCAAGCGATCCTCTCACCTCAGCCTCCCGAGTAGCTGGGACCATAAACGCCGGCTCCCCACCCCCGCTATATTCGTTCTTTAATATAGTCTCTCAGCTTGTTCAGCTGCCACTTCTGTGCAGCTGGTTAGCCAGATCGGTGAAAACCAGGCGAGAAGCGCACACTGACCCTGCAGTGCATCTTGGGAGTTGTAGTCATAACAAATCAATGGTCTTGTTAAAACGTGCTTATGTTTTGACCAGATCCCTTATGTGTGGACGCCCTTCAGCAGTACACTACAACGTGGGTCAGTGTACAGAGCACATGCTGATAGAAATAATTTCAAAATCTGGATTCATCGTTTTTTTAAATCTACAGGAGACCTCAGAAAATGTACTAAATCATTATAATATAGTATATAACAATAGAGCCAGTTAATCGATGTGATGAATGTGGACAAAATGTATTTTGACCTTAGAGAAAATAACATTGCTACCTTGGAAGAATCAGAATGCTTCACACAATTTTTGAGTCTGATGTTAGACACTCCAGCCTTCTGTCCAAGCCTCACCCTTTGGTTATTCCTCAGGAAGACTGAACTTGGAAAGAGGATTATGCAGACCCTGGAGTCAGGCTTGGCTTTTGGGGTAGGGAATTCTAGAGTGCCCACAGCATGGTTTGAAAAAGGGAGAGTGGGCTACACGTGGCTGCAGTCCCATGATTCCATGGATTTCAGACCCCTCCAAAACACAGGGCCTAGTGTTTGCCCAAGTCTGAGGGCCCCCCACAACCACATTTCCCCAGCAGATGTTCTTTAATTCAGGGAGTCATCAAAGTTCCACTTCAAAGAGCTGTTAACCAAATAAGCCCACAATCTTCCTTTTTTGTTGTTGTTTTGAATAAGTAATGCCTTTACACATATGAAATTAAAAAGACAGGCTGGGCATGGTGGCTCACACCTGTAATCCCAGCACTTTGGGAGGGCGAGGCGGGCGGATTGCCAGAGGTCAGGAGATCGAGACCAGCCTGACCAACACGGTGAAACCCCGTCTCTACTAAAAATATAAAAATCAGCCGGGCGTGGTGGCGGGGGCCTGTAATCCCAGCTACTTGGGAGGCTGAGGCAGGAGAATCGCTTGAACCCGGGAGGCAGAAGTTGCAGTGAGCCAAGATTGCACCACTGCACTTCAGCCTGGGTGACAGAGTGAGAGACTGTCTTAAAAAAAAAAAAAAAAAAGCAAAGGTATATAGTGAAAACGAAGTCTTCTTTTTTAGTCTTTGTCTCCTGGCACTCAGGGAATTTTCCTCTTGGAATCACCTCTATTCCATTTTCCTGTGTATGTTGCCAAAGCAGGGCTGGCTTCATGGAGGTGACCCGTACAGATAGGCACTTGATTTAAGTTTTGCTATCACTAACTTGAAATTCAGAAGTTTCTGAACAAGGGCCCTGCAGTTTTATTTTGCACTGGGTCCACAAAGTATGTATCTAGTCCTGTTCCAGAGATATTCTATGCATATACAGGTAACTATATATAAATGTGTATGTAGTGGTCCAGTAGTGGTCCAGGGCATGTTAGGAACTGGGCAGCACAGCAGGAAGTGAGTGGCCAGGGAGCCAGCATTTCGGCCTGAGCTCCGTCCCCTGTCAGATGAGCAGGGGCATTAGATTCTCGTAGGAGCAAGAACCGTATTGTAAACTGCACATGCAAGGGGTCTTAAGTTGTGCACTCCTTATGAGACTCCAACTCCCCCCTTCCATGGAAAAATTGTCTTCCACAAAACCAGTCCCTGGTGTCAAAAAGGTTGGGGACCTCTGTAGTAGGCTATGCCATCTAGGTTTGTTTAGGTACATTCTATGATGTTCACACAACAAAAAATCACCTGATGATGCATTTTTCAGAAAGTATCCCCATTGTTAAGGGACACATGACTGTAATGGAGTACTATTCTTTTCCTTCCTTTTTATTTTATGTATTTTTTGTGGAGACAGGGTCTCTACATATTGGTGCCCAGGCTGGTCTCAAACTCCCGAGCTTAAGGATCTGCCTGCCTTGACCTCCCAAAGTGCTGGGATTACAGGTGTGAGCCACCATATCTGACCCCCTGACCCCCACTTTTTTCTTCTTTTTTTTTTTTTTTTGAGACACAGTCCAGGCTGGAGTGCAGAGGCGTGATCTCAGCTCACTTCACCCTCCGCCTCCCAGATTCTAGCGATTCTCCTGCCTCATCCTCTTGAGTAGCTGGGATTATAGGCAACCACCACCACACCCAGCTAATTTTTGTATTTTTAGTAGAGATGGGGTTTCACCATGTTGGTCAGGCTGGTCTCAAACTCCTGACCTCAGGTAATCCACTTGCCTCAGTCCCCCACAATGCTGGGATTACAGGCGTGAGCCACCGCACCTGGGACAGCCTTTTTTGGGTCAGTGTATATAGAGCTAACTCATTCTACTTAATGGCTACATAGTATCCCACTGTGATAGCCGCAAGAGGCAGACAAATCCTAGGCAGACAGGGTCAGTCCCTGGTGAAACCATTCCTTCAAGCCGAGGACAGTTTAAAGGCTAGCCACAAATCCAGGATAAATCCACAGACCGGACTGAGAACCTCTCTTCCCATTTGGTGTGCTTTCTTCTGATTGATCCCCACCCTTCACCTATTTTACACATACCTACCCTTCCCTAATTGTTTTTTTACACTGTCATGCCTACCTTTGAGTGGTGCCGTTGTTTTAGCCTTTTTTGCATACTCACAAACCAATCAGCATGCATTCCCTCATTCTGAGCCCATAAAAGCCCTGGACTTAGCCACACTGAGAGAGAGACCATCTGACTTTGAGTGAGGGAACACCCTTGCATCCTTTCTTCCCTGAGAGCTGTTTCATAGTTCAAATAAAACTCTTCTCCACCCTCCTCACTGTCAGCGTAACCTCATTCTTGGATATGGAACAAAAACTCGGGACCCACGAAACGCAGATACAAAGAAGGCTGTATACACTGTGGCCCTTTGCCCTCTACTGGTGGAGGGCAACCACTCCACGCAATGCGATGGGAAACAGCAGTGGGGCAGAGCCAGTCCTGAAGCCACGGGCCTGAGTGGGGCAATGGGACTAATAGAGCTGTTAACATGCCACTGTCCATTGGGCTGCAGACGGTGGAACTAAAAGAGCTCTTCGCATACTGTAACACCCCCTTCTGGGCCTTCAGGGTCATGAGCCCCCCTGTTTGGGTGCCACCACATTTCCCTCAATGCGACACACCTGGTCCATCTGCAAGCCCCGCGGAGAGCCCACTCTTGCCCTGCACTCACTCACACACTCCCTCCTGCCAGGGGCTGAGGCCGTGGTGGCTGTAGGATTCGAGTTTGAGCACAAGCCGAGTAGATGGGGTGTTGCCAGCCAGAGGTCTCCGGGTGTCAAAGTGGTCAAGAAAAATCCTGCATCAACTGTATAGATGTACCCCAATTTATTTAACTTATTTCTTGTATATTTGTGTCATTTCCAATGGTTTGTAATTTCAAACAATAAATGATTGTGCAAAAGTTGTTTTATGGGTGCCAATATCTTTGTAGGTTAATTTCCTAGGGCAAAGTTTTTCAACCTAAACACCATTGACATTTGGGGCTGGATAATTTGTTGTGAGGTGCTGTCATGTGCATTATATGATGTATCCTGTCCACCCCTATATATTATGAAAAATATTTCAGTGGCCAGAATCCTTTCAATGACTTAAAAGGCCCTTTTTATCCTGCTTCTGCCTACCTCTCCAGCTGCATCTTAGAACCCAAACAGTCTTTTTTCAGACTCATGCCCACGCTTGCTGTAGTGTCTTTGCACAGGTATTCTCTTTGTCTGGAGTTTTCTTCCCCACCAATCATCTCCTGATAACTCCCATTTTATCTTTTAAATGTTGCCACTATTATCACTTCCTTGGAGGATCCTTCTTGGACTCCCTAACTAGTTCAAATCCCTTCGGTGTGTGTTTTTTTTTCCTTTGACAAAAGCCACATTTGAACAAATCCCCCTTGGAATGTTACGATTGCCAAAAAATCCAATTT